TGTTTGATCCAACCAGCTGGGAAAAACTAATGGTCCGATATATCGTTCCAAAATTGTTGACTGTCATACATGATTTCGAAATAAACCCAGCAGATCAGAAACTTGATCAGTTCTATTGGATTCGGACTTGGGCCACTGCTATTCCCATTCACCACATGGTTCCGTTGATGGACATGTTCTTCAACAAGTGGCAAGAAGTTTTGTATCATTGGTTATGCTCTAATCCAAACTTTGAACAAGTGACCCAATGGTATTTGGGTTGGAAGGAACTTCTGCCGCCTGAACTTCTGGCAAATGAACACATTCGATATCGGCTTAATTTGGGTTTGGACATGATGAACCAGGCTGTTGAAGGCATGGAGGTGGTCCAACCTGGTTTGAGAGAGAACATTAGTTATCTCAGGGTGCTTGAACAAAGGCAGTTTGAGGCTCAGCAAAAAGCAGCTGCGCAAGCGCAACAACGATCTTCTGCAAGCGTAGGTAGTGTAACCCAGATGGAGGGCTTGGGTGGTGGGCAAGAGATGAGCTTGAAAGAAGTTATTGAAGTCCATGCACAGCAGAATGGTTTGCTATTTAAGCCTAAACCTGGCAGAATGCATGATGGTCATCAGATTTATGGCTTTGGTAACATAAGCATAATAATAGACTCTCTCAATCAAAAAGTATTTGCACAAACTGAGGATAGGTGGTCTTTGGTTTCCCTCGAGCAGCTGCTAGAACTCCACAGTCGTTCTGGCTTAAAGCGACGCTGAATTTTTAAAGTGCCCTTGCAATGTTCTTGGGATTGAGAAGCACTTTGTGCTTACACAATGCAGGGATTAAGGCTGCACAGATTGTGGTAATAGCATATTTAGTTTCTCTTTGAACTTTCAGCTTGTTTGTTGCGGCTGTAAATTTCTGTTGTAACTGATGACAATTGCACTACTACTTTTCCCTCCTTTTTGGGTGTCAATGTATGTCTCGCAGTGCATAACTTGTCAACATTTTGAATCGAGAAGCTATTCGCTAGGCATTCAATTTCTGATAGTTGTCTAATTGTTTTTGTTAGTTGTATGTGGGTTAAATTGAAGGATCTGAAATACTTATTGCTATTCTGTTATTTTTGTGGCTGATATTTTTCTTGTGGCTTCTTAAAAAGATGAAGCAACATGCATGGATGACATAGGACAACAGTGAACCCGAGAAATCATCACACGTATATGAGGCTGTGAACAGTAGCCATAAACAGTATTTTAGGGGATAATTGTGTTGGCTTGCGTACTAGGGTTGGATAAATTGAAAGGGAAAGTTGGATAAATTGAAAGGGAAGGGTTTTTAGATGACATTTAAGGGTATAACTATGAGTATAGTAGGTTTGATAAAGGTGTTTAGAACTTAGATACTTGCAGAAAAATAGAAGAAAGAAGAAGAGTAGAAGAAAGTTAGGAATCACTTCGAGAGTTCCTTAGGCATCACGCCTAGGGCTTGAATTACATCAGTCGATCCAAAAACATATAGTTGTGAAAATTTGTTGAAAATATCTCCCTATGCTGATTGAAAACATTACATGGCTATATATTTACTTCAAAAATTATCTAGTCCTAAAAAGAATAGGACTCCAAAATACACAACTCTAAAAAACATGGAAAAAGACACAAAATAAAAGCACCACCAAACCAACTTAAAGTTTCTAAAAAAATCCGAACAATTATATAAAGTTTCATGTGGGTCTCAGTCTTGATAGCAAGCGAGATTCCATCATATGTCATGTCTTTGAATTTGTCTTTTCTATGAACATTTTATGAATTGCTTCATTCTCCTTGGTTGGAGAAAACTCGACCTCGACTTTTGAAGTGTTGAAGTATGAAAGTTAAAAGCTTTGAACGTACATAATTATCTTTGAAATGTTTTTAGATGATGTCTCATTTTCTTCAAGAATTGAGTAAAGAAAAAAAAAAGATATGGAGATCGATCTTCTCGATTGTGTTGTCAACTTCTTTGGAATGAAAAAATTAATTATTGAAACAAAGTGCATAGAAAGCAATTCCTGAAATTGATGTTGACCATGGAGCTTAGTATTGTCCTTCCGTTGTAGCCTTCCATTCCTCTTGCTTATTCAAACTTATAATAATAATTTTTGGAGTGTAACTAACTAATTTTTTTATATATCCTTTTGACATGTAATAATAGATAATACTTAAAAGCCACTCTTTCCTTCAAAATCAAATGAAATCTTGTTGATATTTTGTATGTAAACTCGAAAGGAGAGGATATAGATTAAAATTAAACATTGTACATCTTGTTTTATATTTAGAAGTATCCATGAAATGTTCATAATATTTTATTAATTATCGGATACGTATGATGCGTATTTGATACGAATCTTCGAGTATCCGATGAATATCGTATATAATATGGTATTTGATACGGGTACGTCGACCTAGATGATATATCTGTGTTTCATAGGTCTAGAACCTCCCTGAGCCTAATATAACCTAGCAAAAAAACTAATAATCTCCCACTCAATTACATTCTCATCCTCAATTATTGACCCATCATCAAGCTCCAATTTATTTATAAACTTCCTCACCCTATTACCATATAACACTATGGAAAAATTGTGTTGTCATCAACTTCTTTCACCCATTTCACTCTTGATTTCTGTCTTAAGCTATTTTCTTCTTTAAACACCACCTCAAATTTATTTCTAAGCTCTCTTCTTTCTCTTTTCAGTCTTTTATCTATACTCCCTCCTGCAATCCTATCGACTTCCTCAATTCTATCCAGAATGAGTCTTTTCATTTCATGAATATCCCCAAAAACCTCTTTATTTCACACCTTTAATCTTTGTTTTATAAACTCAAACTTCTTCATAAATTTAAACCCTTCTTATCCTTGAACCCTTTCCTCTCTCCACCAATCTCTAGTCCTTCCTCTAAAATCTCTATGTTCAACCCACATATTCTCAAACCTAAAAGAACATGGTCCCCATCTTAACTTAGAATCCAGAAGCACAATTGAACAATGATATGAGACCACCCTAGACCAGCCCTCCTGTTTAACCCCCTAGATAATTTTCCTATTCGATAGAAAATAAAAATCTATCTAATCTTTTACATACCGTCCTTGTCCTTAAATTTGACCATGTAGATGCACCATTGGCCGAAAGAGGATCCCTAAGTTCTATTTCCCTAATAAAAGTATCAAAGTCCGTCATATCTTTTGTTATTCTTCCCCCATTCAGCTTTTCTATTGGGTATCTTATGATATTAAAATCTCTCCCAATACACCACTTAGGACTAAAAACCCCAAACAAACCTGCTAACTCTTCTCCTCACGAAAACCTATCCCTAGGTCTATTAGGCACATAAATCCCAGTAAGCCACCAGTCAAAGCCCTCTCAGTGTTAAATTCTAACTGATAAAGAATAATCCCCTTCAAGAAATTCTTCTACAACAATCGTCTCTCATCCCAAATAATGACAATACAACCTGAACTCACCATTGAAGGTAAAAAAAAAACCCAATTCCTAACTTGGTTTCTTGCAATATCACAATGTCTGACCCAATCCTTCCCAAGAACTCTTTAATTGAACATCTCTTCCTTCACGACCCCCAACCCTCTAACATTCCAACTAACTATCTTCGTGACAAACACTAACTCCCTCCACCTCTCTCCTACAATTACCACCTATGAAGCACGGACACTTCAAAAGGATCAATGTATCGGTATTGGATACTTCCCGGATACGAATATGCGTCTGACACGGCCGAATACGTATCTGATATGGTTAGAAAGTATCCTAGAATTAAAAATAATAAATTTGAATTTCGGATATTTTAGGATATGTCGGGATACGTTAGTTGGGAATACAGTGAGGTATTACTTAAGTTTTTTTTTAAAATAGGGGCACCATAGCAAAAATGTTTGGACCTTAATTTGCAAAAAAAAAAATTATGAGTGTATGATTTCTGAATGATAGAATGATTAGTTACTATTATATATATTTTATAGATGTGTGATTCACTTTATAAATCATAATTATTATATTAAGTATAATAATAAAAAATTTTAAAAAATATATTTTATGGACATATCTTAGTTGTACCAGTATCGTATCGTATCCGTATATTGTATCCATCTCTGTGCTTCATAGATTACCACCCTTATAATTTATCTAGATTGTAATTTTTTTAGCTCTCTTGCGCACTCCCTCTTTCTTTAACTCCTATCTTCCTTCTTTTGCTTTCCTTTCTTCTTTGATGGAACTAAAGACAAATCCATCTTATGTAAAAAAAAAAAAATTAGCACTACCATTTCTCCTCATCTGACAAAAAATAATTACTTGTATTTGTATCTTCATTGCTAGCCTCAATTCTCTCCCTATACACTTTTCTTCAATACTTATAATAGCCTTAGTTGGCACAACATATAAATTCTCTAAGGGCACTGCATATAAATTCTCTGGGTCAAGATTAACATTCACACATCTCTTATCTGTATTTGGTGTACGATTACTGACATCATTTCGAGGACCAACTAATAAGCCTGAAATTGGACATCGAGACTCAACAAGTGTCTTGTGTCCCTAGGAACCACCCAACCTCTCTCAGAAACTCCAACTTCATTACAATTACTTGAAACGAACCCCTCCCCATAACTGTACTCCTCTCCCTCATTACTGCCCTTAAAAAACATTGCCACCCCCACCCCCAGCAACCCCTACTCTGTCATTAATATCCCCCCGATACCAATAACGAGCTTAGAAGAAGATGGAACAGAGACACTTTCTCCACCAGAAGACAATAAACCACAAGAGGAAACAATGACTGAAGATTTTTGGGGTGATTTGTTACCCCTCCTAAAGTGTAGGGAAGAGCATGAGCTATTACCTCACGAGCCTGATGGCATGCACATTGATCATCACCCAAAACTTCGTTCGTATTTTCTACAACAAAGATTTTTGCAACATCACCATATATTTCCTCAATATGTACCCTCTCCTTATTACCAATATCACATCAATTTAACAACCCCTTGGAACTGCCTATTGCGTTGTCACTCCCATACCATTCCATTGTAGCATTCAAAGCATCAGAGTGATATGCTTCAATAGCAAATGCCTGCTTCCTCTCTTCATCCATGCTACCAAACCCTGTTTCAAAGTCTTCTTGCATACTGTCCAAATCATTGACTTTGCCTCCATTGTGGACCATCCCCATCCTCCTACCCTTCATCTGTTCGTTAGCTCTCAAAATCTCCTCAGAGTGGCCACTACACAAATCATTTGTGTGATTTCTCCGATGAGCGACCATCAACGACCATCAGCTCCTCGATTCGACTATGGAGAACAGCCCTAGAAACTTCAGTCGTCAACTTCATAAAACCAGACAAAGGTGAATGGAATTTGGCCATCGGTTGGGCCAACATTACATCTCTTTAAAATTTCGCACATATTTTCGGTTTAAAAGGGCCCAAGTGTTTTATGCACCTCCTCCTACCCACTTAGTCCAATCTCACCTTTCTCCATTACTCCTTCCTTAACGGGCTCCTTTATTACAATGCCCTTTTTTCCTATTACCCATTTGTCAGTCCATCTCCCTTGAATTGCTCTTTATTAATCCAGTTACAACTCTTTTTTAAAAATTCAGATCTTCCAGCATTATCCCCTTTCCTCAGTAATCCACAATATTTGGGGCACTAATTATGTCATTAGTTGAGCTTTTATGCAATGCCAATTGTGAACAATTATACTCACCTCACAGTGCACCAAAACCTTCATCCATCCTCCTCCTCCAATCACCACGTAATCCACCCAACCCAAGCAGAGGACTCTCGAGAAGAGAATATAACTTGCTAGTTTCGGCTATCTTTCCTGTTCAAATAAAGCAAGTGGACCAACTCTAACATAGCTTGCTTTTCGGGTTTCGGTATAGGTAGGGCAGCTCATAGAAAGAAAAAAATGCTTTGTGGTAAGCTCTTCATCATCTTCAACCTTTCGTCAGTTATGTGGAAAGTTCATGCTACCTTCTACTTGTAACCTTATTTCCTCAATGCAACTGAAACTTCCCAAATTTGATAATACTGTAACCCTAATTGGGAGGGACTTTCCGTTGAAATCCACTTGGAATGAAGTCTTGAGGAGACCCAAAGACGGCTTATGAACTCGAATCTGTGCCTCGAACCGATTCTCAAGACTTCCGTTTCTCGATCAACATCTATAAACCCCCCACACCAATCTTCATTCTTTTTTAAAAACTTCTCTTTGCCTCAGGTTGAAAGGTAATCCTTCAACTCCTATTGGTACCACCACTGAAGCTTCACAACACCATCGCTTGCCATATGGATTATTTTACTCTTGCAAATCCTCTCTGCCTACACTATATCACCACATGGAAAAAATAGCTTTATCTACTTGAAAAGCTCGCAATGATACCTTTAGCTTCAAAACCTTAACCAAATGATTCTGAATGACCTGCCAATGGACAAAAGGGCTCTCCCTTATACATACCACCACACATCTCCATTTTTCATCTGCTTTTAATAGGAATTCTCCCCCGGTATATACTTAGAAGCTTTATCTTTGAGAACATCAGCCCATCCCCTATTTTGCTTCTCAAGTTTTTTGGATTCAAGCACCTTAACCCAGCCTTTATTCTCGCTCTCCCCTGGCCAAGGATATTGATCACCACGAATAGCACTCTCCAACAGTCTTTTAAAAGCTTCCCATCCCCTTCCATGGAATCCTTGGGGATAATCATCCATTTTCTTCTACCATTATTCATCACCCGAGTAACCTTGGCATATTTCCCAAACTTGCTGTTCTCCAATTCAATCCACCTTCAATGTCTGTCACTTTTGAATTTCTTGAAGAAAACATCTTTGCCATTTCAATGTGAAGGTGCAACAATCATCTCCTCCATCCATCTCACACAGATTCTGTTCAAAGAGCATGAGAAGGACCCAAATCGATTCCATTTCGTTATTCGAATCAACTCACCATGTAAACCTTCAAAAAGAACACCAAAACGTTTATGGTGAATCAGACTCTAGTAACTGCCGAGGGAAAAACCTTTCTAAAGACCAGTGGACATTCACTTCCACAAATCTAGGGGCACAACGCTCAGAAAAACATTTTTAGCCGCCTAACAAGCTCCAAGGGCTCATCCTTTATTCTTTTTTAACAATACTATTATGATAGATACAAGAAGATCGACCTTCTCCAACTCAAATGAGCAGGGCTAGCACTCTTTGAAAAAAATACCTCCCAGGCATGAATTGAGGATGTTTAGGAAACATGTATCTCCCAAACTAGACAAATTGACTGACAATATGCAACAATAGATGGCTGTTTCGTACAATGCTACTGCCTTGGATCTATGAAAGAGTCAAACGAGTTCCTTCTATCTTAACAAAACTATACGCCCTCTCTTCCCTCTCTCCCTTTCTCTTATTTATAAACTAGAACTTGTAGCTATATACATATATATTGGAGATCAAATCTTGTGCTTTGGTTTAGTACTAATTTGTGAGAGAACAGGCAGGCACTAGACTTGTAAATTTTGTATATACTTCGGGATAACCCAAACTCAATTTGGATTCTTGAAATCAAATGCCTGTTGAGCTAGGGTTTAGGTAATCTGGTTCAATTGGTCAGTCTCAAAGTACCAATATAATATGAACTTGACAATGAAACACAATGAACTACAGTACACAATGACCTCAGCTCTAAGAATTGTCAAAGATGATTTCACCAAAACCTTTATTCTGAGCATACAAAAACTCATAACATTACCATTGTTGGGAAGAAGAAACCCTTGATGTATTTCCTCAATTAATGATAATGAATTTTAGGTACATCTCCATCTCAAATGCTACTTGGAATGCATGCTCCACGCTATATAGTAATTGCCATTGCAATTTTGCCTGTATATCTGCTCTTAAACTATCCTTGAATCAAGCAATTGTTTGAAGGGAGTCTTGTACAATTCTAATTTGCTACATTAGTTAATCTTTGAATATACTTTGTCATTAATGTGTTTCCTTGTTGTAGATTGTGAAGTTTGCACACTTTGCCACAATAAGTTGAGGGCATATACTTCTCTCAAAGCTTAACTTTCTTCTCTTGCTATGTGTTGAATGACAACAATCCCTATCTTATTAAATCTCCTTAAACTTCAAACCACTAAATTTTTGTTAAGCCTACAAGTTTCATCGTGGAAAACTTTACTCTCAAATCATCCCACATATTATACCAAACAAAATATTCCTCAATCGAGGCAAACCGATCATAGATTATTGAAGGATTATCCCTTCATGTTTAAGGGCTTAACTATGAGTACTTTAGGTGTGATAAAGGTGTTTGAACTTGGATACTTGCAAAAAAGTAGAAGAAAAAGACCAGGAATCACTCCTAGGATTCATTTGGCGCCATACTTGGCGCTTTAATTGCATCACACAAAAAAATTTTGAAAAATATCTCCTCTCTTGATTAAAAACATTATAGGGTTATATATACACCTCAAGTCCTAAAAAGATTAGGACTCCAAAGACTTTAAATTACTTATAGATTAGGAAACTAATATAGACTAAAACTAGTATTCTAAACTCTAGAAACATCCAAGGCTAAAATTCGACCCCAAAGAGGACTTACAGGTCATACTATAGCCCATTCCATAAAATATATAAATTACAATAGGTCTTCCTCTAAAAAACATGGAAAAAGACGCAACATCAAAATAATAGCAAAACAACTTAAACTTAACTCGAAAATCAAATCCAACTAGAATCAAATACAAGTATGTAAAGTTCCATGTGGCTCTCTATCTTGATTGCAAGCAAAAATCCATATTATGACATGTCTTCAAATTTGTCTTTCCATGAATATCTTATGGCTGCATGTGGTCCATAAGATGCTCGATGAGACACAAATTCAAGGACATGAAAGACAGTGGAATAGTTTGCCATCAAGACAAAGACTCACATGGAACTTTCAAAATATTATTTCAAATCTAGTTGGGCTTTACTTTTAGTTGCTTTGTATTAGTTTTGTGGTATTAGTGTTTTATGTGCCCTTTTTATATTTTTTGAGTTGGTGGTATTTTCATAATTTTCAGATTTGTTGGAACGGATCATAGTATAACCCGTGGGTTTTCTTTTGGGTTGAATTCTAAGTTTTAGATTTTTTTGAATATAGAATCTGAGTTCTATTTTATGTTAGTTTTCTATTCTGTAAGTAATTTAGAGTCTCTAGAGTTCTAAAGTTTTGGAATCCTAGGTTAATTTTTGTACTGTCGGTCTTGGGTAGTATACCAACTTACTTTTTATTTATATTTAAAATTTCTAGGAAGATTGTAATGAGAACTGAAAAAGTGATGAGATTTTTTGTGGGAGGGGTGTGGTGAAGGAAGGAAAGATCATTTGGTTAGTTGGAGGGTGGTGTCTAGGTCTAGGGATAAAGGTGTTCTTTCAATTAGCAATCTAAAGGCAAGAAATATTGCTCTTGTGGGCAAGTTGCTTTGGAGGTTTCCCTTAGAACCAAATTATCTTTGTCATTTATTAAGAGCAAGTATGGTTTATAGGCCAATGGATGAGACACTAATAGAGTTGAGAGGGGAAGTTACCGGGTGCTCGTGGAAATTCATATCTCAGGGTGTGACAAGGTTTTCCCAAATCTCAGATTTGTTGTTGGTAGTGAGAAGAGAATTCACTTTTGAGAGGCTCTATGGGTTGGGGAGTCTTTTGTCCTCCTTGTATCCACATCTTTACTGTCTTTCTCGCTTTCATAATGTTTTTTCATTGCTTCAATCTCATAATCATCTGTATCCTTGGGATTTTGGTTTCTGTAGAAGTTCACATGATAGAGATACTTTAGAGTTGGTCTTTTCTTGCCATTTTAAATGATTGTTTATTCATTCAAGAGTCATGTTATAAAAGTAGATTCTTGAGTCTTCAAGTGTCTCCTCCACTAAATCTTTCTATGATTCTATGATTGTTGAACCCTCTTGTCCCCCCTTTATTCCCACTGTGATGATTTGGAAGGTAAAAGTGCCTATTAAGGTGCAAGTTTTTGCATGAACTGTTGTGCATGTTAAGATTAATATTAATGATTTGCTTCAGAAGAGGAGGCCTAATACTTGTCTTTCTCCTCACTGGTGTGTGATGTGCAAAGGTGATTATGAAAGCATTGACCATTTATTTTCACATCGTCTTTGTGGGATAAGTTGCTTAACTTGGTGGGTTTGAATTGGGTTCCTACCACATCATCCATTTCTTTGTTTGTGGAAGACTTGAAAGGACTTGGGTCTCTTGACAAAGGTGTCACCCTATGGAATTGTGTGATCAAGACAACTTCTTGGGTTATAAGGAAAGATAGGAATGCAACAATCTTTGAAGTTTGGTGTGAGTGTTTGGGCGGATCATGGGATTGGATTCATTTTATTTCTGTCATTTTCGGCTTTGATTTCTAAGGATTTCAAAAGAGTCCCACTCTTTCCTATTTTATTGGGATAGAGAGCTTCATGTAGTTGGAATTCTTATTCAACCGCCTTTCATATAATTTTGCTTTTATTTAATATAAAATGATTCGTTTCCTACAAAAAAAGGGGATTAGGAAATACTTGGAATTCTAGTGTTGTTTCTAGATTTTAGAGTCCTAGTCTAGTTTATGTTAGTTTCTTACTCTAAGTAATTTAGAGTCTTTAGAGTCATAGAGTTTTTGGAATCCTAATCTTTTAGAATTAGGAAATACTTGGAACTCTATATGGTACCTATGTGAACTATTCAATAAAGATATTTCTCGTAATTCTATGCTTTCGGATTGTGTGATGTAATTGAACTCCTGGGTGTGATGCATGATGGACCCGAAGAGTGTTCTAGTCAGTAATCTTGATCAGGGTTACTGTTTACAACTCATAAATAATGCTAATCTTGTTGGTCCACTATTGTCCACATCAATTCTTAGTATTAGAGCTAAAAAATCCTATGTTTTGTGAGACAAAATATTGACATATGAAGATGATGATCCTAGATTTTGAAAGAAGGGATGATCCTTCAATATTTTTTGGTTGGCTTGCTTTTCTCAAGAAGTATTTTATTAGGTATAATATTGGGATGATCGAAGAGTGAGGTTTGCCAAGATGAAAATTATAGGCTTGACAAAATTTGGTGGTTTGGTGTTGAAGAAGACTTGAGAAGATTGGAGTTGCTAAATAAACACATGACACCAAATTAAAACTAAGTTTCAAGCGAAGTATATGCCCTCAACTTATTGTGGGAAGTTGTTTATACAACTTACTAAGCTACATCCGGAGAAGTTTCATTAAAAGCAGCCCAAATGAACTAGCGATCCAATAATTCAATGTGAAGGAGATCAAGTAAAAGAATCTACCCAATCCTAAGCAACTTCGCTAGTTACTTGTCAGACTAAGTTGAGCATTGATGCCTAAGGAATCCTAGGTGTGATTCCTTGTCAACATCACTATTCATGAACTTCTTCCTAGCCAAATTACTATTATGGGGTAATGTTCATTAACTCATAAACAGTGCTGTTTTCTTTGTTACCAAAATTGATGTAGGACAATAGTGAACATGAAAAATTAGCACTGTCATGAGGCAGTGAGCAGTCGTTGTGAACAGTATTTTCTTGGATAATTGTATTAATTTCTTTGCTAGGGTTGGATAAATTAAAAAGGAAAGAGGAAATAGTGGTTTTTAGATGACGTTTAAGGGTATAACTATGGATATATTAGGTGTGATAATGGTGTTTAGAACTTGGATACTTACAGAAAAAAAGAAGAAAAAAATAAGAATCATTCTTAGTGTTCCTTTGGCATCACATGTAGGGATTGGGGCTTGAATTGCATCACACAATTCAAAATCATATAGTTGCTGAAATTTTCTGAAAATATCTTCCCATCGTGATTGAAAGCATTACATGACTATATATAGATCCCAAACTCTAGTACTCTAAAAACTCTAAATTGTACACCCGTTCCAGCAAATCTCAAAATTGCGAAACTATCCCAGACTCTAAAAAACATGAAAAAAGAAACAAAATATTACAGCAAACCAACTTAAAATTACTCAAAAATCAGACCCAAGTGGACTCAAATACAATTATGTAAACTTCCATGAGGGTCTCTGCTTTGATAACAACCAAATTCCTTTATATGTAACATCTTTGACTTTGTCTTTTCATGAATATCTGATGGACTGCATCAATGGAACTATAAGAGAAAAAGAATTGTGTCCATATCTCCCGAGTTTGGTGGAATTCTTTTGTTTTTTATTAGGACAGATCGAAGAGCTGTTTGTGAGATGAAAATTGTTTTGTTAATTATCACTTTATTTTGCTGTTTTAGCTTCTTGAAGGATCTCTGATCCTCATGTACTGACTTGAATATATTCGTAAAATCTTACTGTATTGCTGATAAATAAAAAGAAGTGTGCCAAACCTTGTTTGAGTTGTTCTAAGGATTTCTTAGGAATTCTTTTTTGGGACCTTGAGCACTACTCTAGCTGTTGGAGGTTAGTGCAACATCTTTTTTATGCTGCTTTTTTTTGGCTTATACTAAAATTTAGCATTACTGTGAAAAGTAGATGTGAATTTGGTGTTTAATAGTGGGATTGGTTGGCCTATTGATGCAGTCCATCTGGGGCTCAGAATAAAATGGATTTAACAAAGATGGAAATTTTTGCAAGTGTTTTACAATTCAAGGCAGAATCCACTAGAATTTTTAAACATCTAATTGTAGATTTATTTTGTCATATTTTACTTTATTCTAGCTTATTGTGCTGCTGTTTAAGTGATATAGCCAGGTATAGATCCAAAGGCTTCAATGAAAAAGTAGACCTGAAAGAAATTGAATCTAGGCTTGAGACTCTTAGAAAAATGGATGACCGGAGGCGACCCTTTCTAACAAGGGACAGCCAGAAATCTAAATTCCCCGCAGAGGAATGGCTTGAATGCCAGGAGCTTTGGGGGTCAAACCAAGCCCAAGGAATACATTGAAACCTGAATTTTGTTCCATCACCTACTTTGCGAAACACTGCAGTACATTATTGGTAAACAGGCGTAGTACTTAGTTTCATAGGTAGTCCATGGTCTTTTGATAAATTATAGATTGCTCATACACAGGTTACTACTGTAATCAATGTTTTCGCTTCATTGGTAGATTGACTTTTGGGTTTCTAAGTTGAGGTCTTTAGTACCTTTTGATAGTTAAGAGACTCTAAGTTCCTTAGGCTTTAGCTGAAGTCTTAACTTTCAACTAAGAATAATGTGTAGAAAAATGTTCATCTACCATGCTCTTTGTGCTTGTGTGAAGCGTTTTCAAACACCGAGGTATTTTTTACTTTTGTCTTGTTTACATATATTTTGTAATTGGCATATGTTTAGTGTTTTTTTTTTCGTTTTCCAGGTTTGTTCCATTCCTCCAAGTTTAATCTCCTTTATAGTTGTATTAATGTGCCCCTATATTTTTGTCTCAATAATTTACTTAAAAAAACCGTTGTCAAATGGTATATAAATATAAGAACTTCTCTTACCTTTTCTGCTTCTATCAGGCGGCGACAACCCCCACGCCCACCCCCACACCCACAGCCACAACATGGAGGAGCTGCTCCTTAATCTGCAGTACAACAAATCCAAATGTTTTCCAGATCGATATATGATGCTAAACCGAGACCCGAGATAGAGAGAGGGCTGCCCCTTTTGTTGGCTCTTCGAGACAAAATCATATGAATGGTTCTCATTTCCATGTTTCTTCTAGTCTTTTCTTTATTTTAAAGACATGCGAACCAGCCTCTTTGTGATTGTTCTTGGAGATCATTCAGTCCAGAATGGCTACCTATTGTGTTGCTTTCCAAATGGGAAAAAAACCTGCCTTGGAGATCATTCATATACAATGTTTGGTTTTATTTCTTTTCAATTGCAGATGGGTGGTCCACTAGGTGCGGAGAAAGGTATACTTTTGCAGCCGTTCAAGTGCTGAAATATTAGAGACTAGTTTGGTTTGAGGCCGATGCCAATTTGAATCATGTTCCCTAGAGCTCTTTGGTTTTTAAGTTATAGCAACATCGAGCAACATCCAACAACTTTAGTCCTTCTAGTTTGTACTAAAGTAGCTAAAGTAGCCCTCAAGGAGAGTTCATTAACTCTTTTTGCCTGCCGAAACCCCCCATAAAAAAAAGTGAACACATACAGTACAGTAACAATAGAGGCTACGGCACCTGCGATGGCAAGGACTTTATTGGCCATCCTCTTTGGGCTTTTGGAAGACGGTTGAGCGAAGTGAGATTTGAAGGTGAAACTTTATGCAATTTGTCGTACATAAATGCAAGCATTCGACTTGGCTACTTTCCAATTGAGATTAATCGGCTTTCCGTTTGCAACAGCGAAAGAAATTGAGAGTTTAAAGGAGCTGCAGAAACTGTGTTTTGTGGCCGCAAATCGTTAGCTTTTTGGGCTGTTTGACATATACCTGTAGCGCTGGCTGAAGCAATTCTCTTCCCATCTTATTTTGCTTTATTATTCTCTCTCTCACTCTCTCAATCGCTATTAGAAGGAGAATAAAAAGCAGCTGCAAGACTACCTGCCTACATAGTTAGACAGTCGCTGCTTTATCATTTAACTATCAGAAACTGAGTGCTGCTCATAAATTGGGAGTAAATACTCAAATGCAACAGTGATATTACATCAGTATTGACATGTGATATTAACAACAAATTATAAATCAACACATCTTAGTATTCCAGTAACCACTAATAACACCTAAACGAGTTCCGGTTTCATAATTGGTTGGTTGTATATACTAATCAACCATTGGATCGACTATTTTGCCTTTGAATTGGAATATCTGATACTGAGTGCAAGGATTGCAGGGCACAAATACTCGAATTTTGATTTTCTGAAGAAAAATTTACAAACGAAAGGGGCCACATGATACATCTGATTCTGATTTCTCTACTAAGATAAGAGCTGCTGCTCATTGTCGTAATTTTGGTATGATAGAAACATCAGTATATGCCTGCTTTAGGAAGAAATACAGCCAGTGACGCCATTACAGTGCCCAAGCCAAGACTGTTGGATACAAAATTTCAGCACTTACCAAAGCAGCCACTAGCAAGGTACTTGTCTTGCTAGTAAATTCCATTAGAACAACTTAACAACATATGGATGCACACAATCTTCAAAAACCCGGTCAGGCTGAAGTTTGCACATCTCTATCCCGGCAAAACTGATTCCAGCATGCACACCTTCAAAGAGTTGCGAGCAAATATATGTTCTTGATTGCGGATCTTTAGGCTTTAGAGGGCATGAAGCCATAGACATATACACAGTTGATGCTCTACTTTAAAGACAGGTCCCATATATCAGCAAAATGTATTCTTTTATCTATTGTTCAAAAGTTATAGATCATCAAGTTCAATTTGTTTCATGTTGTTAACTATGTCTTCAACTCTTAAAGACATAAACTCAGCATGTTGCTCAAGATCTTTAATAATCAGGTGCAGCTGTCGCTGGATTTCCGTAGATCGATCTCTTTCCTTTTGCAGTTCATCATTTAGATCTTGGATTTTTTTGTCCTTCTCTTCCTGTAAAAATAAATTGTTAAATAAATTAGAATAGAAGATATGCGGACTCTAGAAGTCACCTGCAAGCTATAATGCCAAAAAAAACTTTGGAGAGAATATAACCCTAACCACGCTTAAAATGAAAGTGAGTTACGAATCATATGTTATATATTATGGACATTACAATTTCCTGAGATTGCATTTCATGATGTATGCAACGTTCTTATGTTGCTTTTTAGTGACGATCGTGGGAGCCACATTAGGGTGCAAAGAAGTCCTTCCATCACTGTTGTTAGCTAGCTTAAAACAGAATCGTTGTAACTGGTGTTAAATGATGAAATGGATACAAGGCAATGTAGAGTCAATAGGATGAAATAGATTTAGAGCCAAGAGATATAGCAAGTTTTCTGCTTATCTCAAACTCCTAATCAATTCTGCATCTTAAGGTGCCACCCCTTGTTTTTGTGCCTGCTCTCCTAGCTGTGGTAACCCCCAAGTTAACCCTACTAGATTGGTTGATTATCTTTCTAAGATACAAGCCCTAAATGGAGCCTGTTGTACTTCCAGCAAATAACCATTTTTCTTGACGTGCGTCCACATTTGTGTCTATACATGCTCAGATTGAGAAAGAAATTAGGGTTTCATGTCTCCGTTGATGACCCCATCTAAAATAAACCTTCCCATCATGGATCAAAATTATCTCTCCCAACACCTTGTGCAAGCAGGACAACACAAAGTAATAGTCCTTCTTAGCTTTCTTCATCTGTCTCCAATGTTCAGCTGACAATCCAATCTGTTCTTACACTCATTCCGACCTCTTACAACTTTCCATTATAACAATAGGACTTCCTAAGTCCTTTAAATATTCTTCGACAGTCTACTATGATGAGTGGCTATCATGTGAATCCATTAGCCCTGAATGCAAGTTAGTGTCTTACGTCGTCCCTCAGAACTGTTCCCTGATTTACATGTTTACTGATTGTCATGCTTAAGTGTTTTCCAAGTATTCTTCTTCGTACAAAAGCAATAAGAGGAGACACAAATGACTTTCATGCCTACAACAATTACCCACGTCCTTCAAGAACAACCAGGTGTCCCTACTTCAAGAGAACTTTCATACAAGAATTTGTTTCAAAGCACAATGAGGAAATCCGGGTAAAAGCATTTAGTTTAGAGAATAACATAATCACAATGCATTTAGCATTTAGTATAGAGAATAACATAAACTCAATGCATTTAGCAGAAACTACTAAATAAAGTCCAAATTTCATTGTGACCCCCTGTGGTTATGCCCCTCTACACAGCAGCCCCTCACCTTCAAAAGTACCCACATTTCTCCCATATGGTTCGTGGATTAAAGTAACCAATTACAATTTGGTATGTCCAAAAACTTTAGTTTTTCTTTGTCATAAACCAAAGATTATTATTAATAATAATATGAAAAGCGTACAAAAGAGTACAAGTAGTCCTCTACTGGTATAAAAAACAGAAATACAGAAAATTAAATATTTGTAAAAAAAGTAATACAAATAGACATAACACCATCTCAAGTCCCTTCGCACACTTGTCTCCAGTGATCTTCTATCAAAAATAGAGGAGTCGCTTCAAATTCTTTTGAAGTTGATACCCATAGAAATCCCTCGAAAAAGAAAGAAGTCAACATCTTTTATCCAACAAAGATAGATCTAAAGCGACGTTATCAAGAATGGATAAGAGAGAATATAACTCAACAATTTCTCTATCATGCAAACTCCTAAAGAAATTAAAATTCCAAGAACAAGAATAGTAGGATGCTACCATACATGCAATGGAAGAATTTTAGGCTCTTGTCAATCAACACAATCGATGAAACATAGAGGCAAAAGAAGGTCACCCACCCACACATCCTCCCAAAACCAAAATTTCCTCCCCATTGCTCACCACAAATTTGACATTGTTGGAAAAGAGATGAATTCCTTGAGAAATTAAAGTTCCAGGGACAACAATAGCATCCTCACTCACTCATATTGGATAATCGCTCATTGTCATGAATCTCATATTTACTTTTAAATTTTAATCACCAAATGCCACAAACTATGAGGCTCAATGGGAAATCTCCATAACCATTTAGTAAGCAATGAAGTATTCCTAGCTTGCTCTTCTCTAAAGCATGACCCCCTTGTGTCTAGATTGAGATACTACATCCCAACTTACCAAATGATCATTACTTCCTTCTCCAAGACCCTCCCATAAAAAGTCTTTCATCATCTTCTCTACAATTTTACTACCTTCAAAGGCATCCTCATATCGGGATACTTTCAAGCACGGAGTGAACCAAGGTCATTTCACCACCTTGAGTAATATGTTTTCTTCCATTTGTCTAATCTTTTGTTAATCTTATGAATCACTAGATCCCAAAAAGATAAAGAACATAGGTTACCCCCTAGTGTGAGACCCAAATATCTGAAAGGCCACTCCGATAAAAAAATTGATCTTGTGGGACATTAATTACAGCAATTGCACTTTTGGACAAGTTAACCTCAAGACTCGACATCAACTCAAAGCATTTCAAAAGTGATGCTATTGTACGGATATTCCTCTCATCACCCTCACAATGACAATCCTATCATTTGTGAATTGTAGAAGGGTCACCTCCAGTCTATCCTTTCCTATCCTAAATCTCTACTACTTGTCCCATCTACCATTCCACTTAATACATCACCTACCAATGTACACAAAAAGGTGAAAGGGGATCACCTTGCCAAAGACCTCTAGTCTTGGAAGTACGAATACGGACACAGAGATATAACAAAATCCCAAAATATAGGACATAGGTACGACGAGGATACGACTAATTGATAATAACAAACAAGACATAGCAAACATTAATTTTTTATTATAATTGAAATAGATCAAAGATTCAAAAATACAAATCCACAGCATCTGAGCAAAAAACAGTAGCACATCAAAAACAAAAAAATTTCCAAAATAATATCTCCAAAATTTGAAACCCCTAAAACCCTAAACCCAATCAAATTAACAACCTAGTAGATCTCAAAGTCTCCTACAAAACAAAAGTAACAAACAAAAAAGATATGAGGTAACAAAAAAAGAAAAGGAACTTGACAACAACAGATCTCAAACTCGTAGACAGGCAGCAGACCTAAGACTCTTGAAGCACAACCTTGCAGGTTGGTTTTTTCTTCCCTCCTCTTTCTTCTTCTTCTTCTTCTCTTTGCAGATCTGGTCATCTCTTTCTCTCTGTTGTAACTTGCAATTCACGAACAGTTGAACACAGTGGAAGCCTTCATGATTTGGCTTTACCTTTTGTTTTTTCTTTTTCAACCCCCAAAACGACGTCTCCTTTTTTCTTTTTCTTTTTTTCATTTCAACTTCCTAAGTTTTTATAATAAAAAAAGAAGCTCTACCGTATCCCTACCGTATCCAAGTCATATTCGGTTCAAAAAAATCAGATCTATTGTGTAGGACATTTCCAAAGGTGTCGGACACGTGTCCAGACGTGTCTCACGCATATCCGTGTCGGACATGTGTTCGATGTTGCCACAGCGACCCCTAGCGAGTATATATGCTTTCTAGCCTCTAGTTGCATTAAAGAAACCTCTAGTTGAATTAATTGAGAAGTTCGCCGCTCTTAGACCCCCTATAATCCAATTTCTCCATCTCGATCTGAAACCTTTCCTTTCCATTATAAAATCCAAAAAGTCTCAATCTACCATATCATAGGCTTTCTCAAATTTGGCCTTGAAAACTATACCCCATTTCTTTTTTATTTATATTCCTCAACAATGTCATTAGCCATATGTACTACATCCAAAATTTGCAGCCTTTCAATAAAAGCTCCTTAGTGTCGTAAAGAACTTTCCTAGGTCTCATAGACAAAAATTTAGCCAAAATCTTGCAAAGACTTGTAACTAAACTAATAAGCCTATAATCCTTTCACTTTTAGTGACTTGTCCTTTTTAGAATAAGGTAAATAAAAGTAGAATTCGTACAAGCATTAAACATTCCATTCTCATAGCATTCATTAAAAAAAAAAAAAACTCTCTTTAAATTCTCAGTACTTCCCAACATTTTTGAAAAGTAATCAAAATAAAAACATCTAGGCCCAGGGATTTGTCACCACTAATAAGCTCAAACATTGCTTTTTTTCTTTTTTATCTTTTCTACCTCAAAAGGTGATTCAAGCCAACTTGCTTTATTTTTCTCAATAGGACACCAATCTAACTCTCAAGTCTGTGACTTCCCCTTACCCCCCACCCAAAAAAAGAATAAAACTTAGTAAAGAAATTGATAGTCTCATCTATAATAAGACTTTCCATTCTCAACCACTTCACCCGAGTCCATTTCAAGCCTTGTGATTAACTTATTTTTTGCTCTGTTATTTGCTATTTTTTGAAACAACTGAGAGTTGTTATCTCCCTCTTTGATCCATTTGACTTTAATTTTTAGTCTCCAACTAGATTCCTCCTTCACCAAAATACATTCAAACTTATTTCAAAGATCACTCATTTCTCTTCTTAGTCCGTTGCAACAGACAATGTAGTGGAAAAACATTATCTATTGCAACAAACTAAAAAGTCAAAAGTCTTCCAATAGAAGAAAAACACCCCTTACCTCTTCTCTCACTCTCTCTCACGAACCTCACCTCTCTTTTAGACACACACACACGAAAAAAACTGCTGAGAACCAACACTAGCCCATCGCCTCCACCACTTCAATACCCCAACAGGCCCTGCCTACACTACTTCGGCAACAAGTTGCAATAACACAAGAAAGAAGTTGCAAATTTTGGGTATCAAAAAGAACATGGAGAAACTTACAAGCCCTAAGCCACCACCATAACCGCTGCAACCACCATAACTGCTACAACCACCGTAGTAGAAGCGATGTCCACCCCTCCAACTCAAAATCAAATCAAAAATCTGAATTCAAGATTGAATATAGAATGCATATTTAATGCGAGACAATATCAAATTGAACCGAATTGTGAATCAAATGGATTCGAATCAAAATTGACTTGAATCAAATCAAACTCGAAACTGTCAGGGCAATATTTAAGAGTAGCTCCCACCCCGTCCTCTCAACGATCTGTGTCGTTGTGGCAACCACCCCATCACAATTGATGTCTTTGCGGTCGCCATCTCTTGCTATTGCCACCCCAACATAGGAATACCCATCTCCATTCCCACCTTCTCCACATAGAAAACACTCAACCCCTAGAGAGAAACGAGAAAAAGAAAAAAATTCCATGAGAGAAAGGGATTGTAATGGCAAGAGTTAACAACATGACCAAACTCCCCATTTTAATCCCAAATAAGGAAAAAGAAGAACAAAGACTGCTTTGGCTACTGTCCAAGGTGGACAACAATGAGTGGAGATTGGGAGAGGCAGAATGTAGAAAGGATACTCCATAGATCTATACAATATGTAAATATATGTATATGTGTATATATACACATAAAGTGAGGATATTCCATATAACTATATGTGTGTCTGTGCGTGTATATATGCATAGACGCGCGCGCACACACACATATGGGAATATAAAGGATGTTTTGCCTTAATGTTAGTGTTGTAAATGGATTGGGTCATACACCATATGAGTGTTCAGAGGTTGTTTCTGAAGGTGGGGAGGAGGGGTGATGTGAGGAGGGGCCTAGCCACATGGGGCTAATTTCCCCTTAAATAGACAAATATAAGTTTATCTTGCCTGTAGTAACCTTATTAGGCCCATAAAATAGATGACATATTATGCATGTGTACCACCTTTGTACAATCCAACTCCCAAGAATACAACAATCCCTCGATTAAGGTTTTTGGTCCTCTCAAACTCCAAGCCAAGATAGATGAATTTTTGGAGTCTCTCTTCTTCATCTTCTCTTGCTTGAGTCCTAGAGCTCGTACTCCAGACGCAAACAATGCAGAGCTCACACTAATAACTAATAGAAAATGAATCATTCGAATTAGACGCTTGGATGAGGTTGAAGAATGATTATAGCTTAAATAGTATTTGGATTTCAATTTGCACCAGCTCAAAGGCAAAGATAAAGAACCCTTAACCAAGAGGTCAGGGGGTCAAATTTTGTCTCTGTAACATTTTTTTCTTTTCAAAATATTGTAGGTTTCGCTCTATAAACCACTAACTAGTAATTAATTACCATCTTTTATTTTGTTGGGGTGCAGTACAAGAGGAGAGGATAAAATCACAACATTATCTTAGCCAACTATACCGAATCCTTTCTCATTTAGTCATAATTCATATTAAATAAATTACTTCACCTGGGGCAGATAGCACAAATCAAACCTATTGAGTTCTCCCTTGTTGGCTTTCTAGTTCGTTATAGTGATCTTCGACCACCTTTAGGAACATCCATGAAAGAGAGATTGAAACCTTAGCCAGGTTCAAAGAAGGATCCAATGTGCTTTCATTAGAAAAAGGGGGTTTCCAAAATTTTGTGGCAAGACCATCAAAAAAAATCCACAAAGGCTTCAAGTAGTTGGTCCATGTATTGAATACAATACAATAGAGATACAAACACAAAAGGACCATTACCAACTCTATCAATTAAAGAAGTTGAGGGGTAAACTAGCACTCCAAACTCCTCTTTTCTTTGCAAAGAGTACGACTCTCATATAGTAACCCAAGACATCATGCTAGACAATCCGAGATTTTGCCAATCCACCACGACTTGACCTCTATTACAAGTGGAACATACTATTAGAATGCAAACGTGAGAGATGCAAAACAGTCATCCCACACTAACTGCGTGACAAAAATATGGCTTAATACACAAGTTTGGAACAAATCACTTTGAGCTTGAGCTTAAGCTTTTAGGTCATGTTTCAATACAACCCGTATATGAGCTTAATTTGTACCAGTGGTATTAGAAAGTGTACAAAATACTACAGAGAAATATAAGAGCAAGGAGGAGCTACCAAGTGCTCCACCCAAACAACCAATTGTAAAATATGACTCACATGTGACGGGAAGTGTTGGACTTGGAACCCACATGTGAGTGAGGCAACACATCCATCCCACATCAACTGCATAACAAAACAAATATAGCTGTGATCTTGAACTTAAGATTTTGGATTAGATTTGAATCAACTTGTATGTGTGCCTAAATTATGACACATACATCATCTGCAAATGCTTGAGCATGAAATATATAGTAGGTTCGTTGGTCAGAAGAGCTAAAAGGACCTCACTACTCGATAGCAATGAATACAATTTTACCTATGGTCATCATTTCTTTAATTTTTCATCCCCCCTTCTTTTATGATAATATGAACTTCATCTTTACGTTGGGGCCACGCCAATGTTCCCTCTATTATTCCAACTTTATAATGTCTGCCCCAATATTCCTCCTAAACATCAACGGAAATTTTTTAATGTGCTCAAATAGGAGATTTGATTGTTCTATAGGTAAAAAATGGATCATCACATCATTTAGTTCCCATCAATCGAGGATGCTGGGACGGATGAAGCAAGTATAAATCTAACCGTTGCTATTGTTTGCACAAAAGGTTAAAAAGGGTGACCCACTTCAATCCCTAACAATAGAAAATGCTAGGAGAGGTAAAATGAGTATTACCCAACCTTGATAATATTTTCCCAAAATAGCTAATCAATCTTGAATCAAAAGTGTCGTAGGTGTTAGCACAAGCAATTTACCAAGGCATTAGAAAACTACCCCTATTTGGTTGTTAGAAAGGTCGAATGGTAAAATTCCTACCAACGTGGTAGATTAACAATAACTCATTGCTAACAAGGCTTTCTTCCTGCAAAGATGCCACCAAACATCAAATCCATAACACCATTAAACCATCTTCTCTATTAAGGACAGCAAAAAAAAACCAATAGTCTTTCATTTCTTATTTAGAAATGAACATTAAGAATTAGATAACTAGGTGAGTTAGAATGGTTGAGCATTCAAAACTTTTGGGGTGTGTTTCTTCAACCTGATAAGATTTATTTGCAAGATTACAGTTTACGGTCCCAACTCAATCTACATTGCAACATGTGTGAAAGGATCAAATATCGTTTCGAAACAATTGAAACATCTGAAATATTTCCGTTTCCAAGAAGACTGAAATGAATCAGTGATGGAATCGAAATTTTAGTACTTCGAGATATTCTATAATGTTTTGAAATATTTTATATTTTAATGCATTTACACAATTATTTTAGAATGTTTCAAGCATTTCAAAATATTTTGGTATATTTCGACCAATATTTTGAAAAAATAATTCTTAATTTTTTTTTTTATTTGTTTTCAAAATAGGTCGAAATGTTTCCGTTTCTTTGGCGATCGAAGCAATGTACCGAAACAAAATTTTAATCCTTGCATGTGTGCACACTGTATTGTATAACTGCGAGAGTGTATATAAGTTTTTATATTAGGGATATATTTTTCTTTTTGGTAGTCTAGAGTTTTTCTAATTTCCTCAAGCTATATATATATATTCTTGTAATCTAGTTTATTGACATGAGAGAAAGTATAGTTTGCACCCAATAAAAACTTCATGGCATCATAGCCTACTCTCGTAGCAAAGCAATCCCTAAAATCGCATCCACCATCACACTCCATTCTCGTCATTGTTCACAGAACTATTCATCATGTTGTTCACAATTATATTTCATCAGTACTGTTCACGGTAGAGTTCATCGGCACAATCAACGGCGGAGCCATATAGGGAGGAGGGTGGGCACTCCCCCCCCCCCCCCCCCCCGACTTTTTGAATCCTATGGTTAAGGATGATAGTTTTGGTTATTTTAATACATTTACCCCCCTTAATTTTTGGAAATATTTACAATAATCCTAGTTTTTTTTTTCAATTTTTGATAAGTTAATAACCCATTGCCCCCCTCCAAAAAAAAAAATTAGTGTTTTAGTTTATGTATCGAGTACATCAACAAAGTAAATGATGATTTCAACTAGATTTCTCAACATAAAATGAATAATAATTTTATCACGGATAATGTGGTTTTGTACATTGAAGAAAATTACTAAAAATTTAGTTTATTATCAATTCATTATGGACAAATTTTAAGATTTGAAATAACATCGTCTTCTATTTTAGTAAGTGATTGAGTTGAAATGTACTAAACATATGTTATTTTATAATTTTTTATTTATATTTGGTTTAAGTTAAAAACTTAATGGTGTTTTCGATAAACCGATGAATGAGCTAAAGCCCCCATGTCTGGCCGAAAAAGTTGAATCCTAAAATATTTTTTCTAGTGAAAATTTTTTCCTCATAATTTGTTCCCTCTAATGTGAAATGCTAGCTCCGCCCCTGGGCACAATTCACAAGTACTGTTCATAATTACTATTCATCAACACTATTCAATGTCACTGTTCATCGCACTATTGATAGTTAATATTTTGCAATCAAATCATGTCGATCTTAGACAGTAACATTTAAACGGTCAATATTCATTTGAATTGATATAACTACTTGTATTGGTCTAATATGATGAAAAAAAATTTGCCTAGTCAAGGAAGATGGGGTTATGTCAGGTTCTAAAGTAAAACCCTCTGATCCCAAAGCAACAGATTATAATAAATTATTGTTAGATGGGAGTTGAAGAACATTCAAGTTCTTACTTGGAATTTGACATTGCAAAGAAAGTGTCGAATTATTTGGAAGGCATGTATTTGGAATCCATTTTTGCAAAACAAAATCAATTAGAGATGAGACCTTCTACTTGCATGTATCTAGAATTCGTTCAGGTTTGATTGGTTCACATATCTCAAGTATATCACCTTCTATGTGGATATTTGATTCAGGTTACTCACATTATGAGCCTTAATTTATCTTCTCTTAGTAATTGTCTCAATATTGGTACCACTAATAGTTCTCCAATGCATGTTGTTTCTATTGGATATGATTTTCCCTCTTTTCCCTCCCCTTTTATCCCGAAAGTTTTTTGGTTTCACAATTGTATGCTTGTTTATTCTTGTTAAGTTTAGAGAATTAACACAATATAAGAGTAAAATAGAGAAAGGTTAAAAACTTAACCTAACTCTCATACATCAATTGTATTTATAGTTAACCTACAATAATAAGAATTACATATACACCCTCTTACTACACATACTACCCTACTATTCTTAACACTCTCCCTCAAGTTGGACTATAAATATCATATAATTCAAGCTTGGAACAAATAACTGTTAGACGTGTACGACTCAATACTTTGGTAAATATATCTGCAAGCTGATCTTCAGATTTCACAAATAGAGTTGTAATCTCCCCAACTTCTATCTTGTCCCGAAAAAAGTGACAATCAACCTC